ACGCGTCGTTGCAGTCTCGATGCCGTCCGATATTGATCGCGACAGAGAGGAAGACGCGGATTGCGTCATGGATGTTTCGCACGATGCTCGCTCCGCTACCACGTACGAGTACAAGTAATGATTCATTGTGTCTCGCGAACACACCAGTGCGAAGTAATCGTTCGCGTGTTCGATGGCATGGTGCACGAATCGATTCAATTGTCGATCGAGCACTTCGTTGAAGCGATATCTCTGCGGCAGATTGCAGTCCTCGTAGTTTATCGTGAGCGTGCGCAAAATGGCTGGTGTGCTCAGTTCGAATCTTTTGAGACACAGGTTCAATACGATATGATGCGAAGTGTGCTTGTCCATATAGCGAACAAATTTGTCCAGGATCTGTCCGCACATCATCGTGATCTGGCCGCTGTCGTGCGATGCGTTCTCGTTGTCGTTTCCGACGAGAGAGTTCGCGATGCCGTCCAGTGCGCTACTTCGATATGCTTTGCTGACAATGTCCATAGCTTCGTTCAGACCCGTTCGAAGCGCGACTGCGGCGGCCGATGACGTGTCATTGCTGACTTTTTTTTTACCGATCGATCGATATCGGTGCTCTCGACGAATCGTACCGATGATCGCGACTCGTTGGAAGCGATCGCGATTCTCGCGTCATTAACGAAGAATCTGTCTCGACGCACGCGTCGACGCATCGAGTCGCTGCGCGACGAGTTGGACATTGTCCTTGGAGAGAGATATTCGACTCTGGTGCCGGACGCAGCGATTGTCGAGTCGCTCGTTCACCGATTGATTCACACTGAGAACGGCTTCGCGCGTTTGGAAACCGTGGCTGACGTTACCGAATCGATCTTGCGTGAAATTGGCCGAAATGGATACGCTCGTACCAATCGTGCCTCGCGACGCGGAAATAAAATTTATGGATCTATACTGCGCACCCGGGGGCTTTCTGGACTATGTTTTTCTGCGAAAACGTTGGTCGGCCAGTGGTGTCGGCGTGAGTCTGTCCAAGAGACAAGGAGGCGTCGATATGTCGCGACGTCGATTGCAATCATCCGCCAAGGATACGCTCGTGTTTCACTGTGACGTCGAACGAGTGGCGACGCGATTGCAGCGCGAACTGTTGCGTTCCAGCGCCAGGAAGCGCGTATTCATCGACGACGGTTCCACCGGTGACGATGTTGCTGTTTCGATTGCCGTGAAACACCTGCGTCAATTGCGTCGCAGGGTCAATTTGGTCATGGGCGACGGAGCGAAGGATTCCTCCCCGAACCTGACGATCGCTCAATGGATCGTGACTCGTTCGGTATTGCGCGCAGGCGGTTCGTTCTTGTTGAAAACGTTCGCGTGGTACGACAACGCACGCGACGAGCCGCTGGGCAACGCGACCGCTCGCGCGATACGGTCCATAATTCCATACTTTCGAGACGCGGTGCTGAAACCGTGGCATTCAGCGATCACGAACGACGAGCGATACGTGCTTTTTCGTTCTTTTTCCGTGACACCTGGACCCGTCGTCCACCCGACGGAGGAGTTCACGCTTTTGCGCGCCGAAGCGATCATCTCGACGCAGCAGGTGGACGCTTACGAGCGAATCGTTCTGTTGTTGATGTCGAGTCGGACGACGAGCGTGTCGTCGAGCGATTTTTTGAACGATGGACGTCGCTTCGCACCGGCCAAGATACGAGAACTCGCGATCGCCATGTTTCGATGCGACGCGGAATCGATCGAGCGGGAATTGCGTTCGTACGGTGCCAATGTTCTCAACTTGCCGATAAAGCACGATCGAACGGCGGAACCATTCGAGATCGTTTTTCATAAGATAAAACGTGCGCAACGATGATATTGCTCGTGTTGACGATATTTGATCGGTTGCGCGTACGCGCTGTATCTGGCGACCGTTCAGGCGCCGTTGACACCGCGCGCGAAGACTCCGTCGACGCCGACACCGGGTGTTCCATCGGCGCTCTCGTGGGATCGGTCGCCGAACGAGTCACCCGAGACGAAGAATTCGCTAAAAGTTTCGCCAAAGACTCCGTCCGCGATACGGGCAACGATCACCGTGAGAAACAACGTCGTGTTCGCAAATACGGCGTCGCTGGTCCATCGCGTAAGATTTGCGCGATTCGATCCACGTACGGACTACGGTCTAATCGACGGAGACCGATCCGTTTTGACTGTGAACGCGAACGAGATAGGTCTCACGTTGGTCGTGATATGGCAGGAACTTCGAGACCTAGTGCCCGGTTCTCGACGTCGCGAGCGATCCACGGAAGCGGAAGACGCGATCGTGGACGACAAGGTGTCAGTGTCCAAGGAATTCAACGCTTCGGTTCTGATCAACGGTTCGAACAACGATCACTACGGAACAACAGCTGGAGGTTACGGATCGATCGAGATGCTACTGACCAACGACGATCAACACGGCAATCGCGCGTCCTCGAATTCGTCTCTCGCTGTGCGAACGGCGCGTCTTCGAGATCGAGAAGTCACCGTATTGTCGCGTATATGGCGATTGTACAAAGAATTAGAAACGGAGAGCAACCAGTTGCATCGATACAAAACTCTGGAAAAACCCGTCGATCGTAGACGCTTGTCGTGCGATCTAGCAATGTGCGCTACGGTGCTCATTGACACCACGGATGAGGAAGGTCTGACTTATTTGGCCGGTATTATCCTGCTGTACGTTCGAGTCATGGACGATCGAGCGCGAAACGATTCGCGTTACGGAGAATTGCGCGCGATGTGCTCCGCTTTCGACCCGGCGTTGATCGCTCACAAATGGCGATAGATCGAGCATCTGTGCGCGACGGCGCAACGGAGAGCGAGCATTGCCGTCGAGAACGCGGCGTCTCGATACTTGAGCGAATACACTCGAGCGCGAATGGCCGAACGACGAGAATTTTGCAAAATGCCGCCCGAGTGTCTGTTTCATTCGTTCGAGACGTATCCTCGAGTCATCAAACGGCCTACGAGGAATAAGAGTTTCGCGCACGGCGAATCGGCCGGGTCGCTGATGACGATCGAGCGTTTCGGTCGATATGTTCTACGATTCACCGTTGATACCGACGAATCGTGGAATCCACCAGCTACGCCGCCGTGGTTCATGAAATATCTCATTAAACATCACACTCGCGCCATATCAGCAAATGGCATCGCGTACGATTTGATGTCTCGTTTGGACGATCACTCGGAACGAGGGTTGGTGTGTTACGTACCAGCGAAATCGCGACATCGAAACATTGATTTCGACGCCGTTGTCGAACTCGAAACCGTTTCCTCGGTGGCCGAGGTCGAGAGGACAGGCGCTGAGTTTACGTGGATTACTTTTGGTACGGAGCCAATGTCACATCCGTGGTACTTTTGGACGGACTTTGGACTCGATACGTGTGGGTCGACAACGCGCGCGGCGAATCGCGAACGGTAACGGTGTCGCTGTATCGTGCACCGGTGAATGAATCGAGCGACGGTGGCTTCGCGACCGTTCACGGAGGATTTCGCGTGTTGAACAAATTTCGCGGCGTCCAAAACGGCCAATCGATGGACAATTTCACGGTCAGATACGAAGGAGTGTACGGTGACGAGCACGATGCGATGATAGAGACCTTGGTCCAACAGTAAGACGATGTCGATAGACCCGAGTATGCGTTCGACGATATCAACACGATACTGTTGTCGGTTCCGAGCGGTTGTCGCGTTATCGCGCATGTAAGACAACGGCGAAAAGCCCCAGTGGAGAATCGTTTGTCCGCCGATCGCAGCGGATCGAAAAGTATCGACAACGCGTCTTCCATCGCGCGAATCGACGGTCCTCTTCAGCATCAGTGGCTTTACTTGCCAGACACGGATCTGTACGGTGATATGTGACTATATCCGCTGTTCGACTTGAGAACGTACATTCCGTTGACCGCGTTCGAGTCGCATTCGAGTCGAATCGCATCGATTGGAAGTGCCAAATTACGCCATGCGAAAAGATCGCTTCAGCGAACGAAACTTCGCGTGATTTCTTCGTAGCGCGACGGGTCTTTCGCGGCCGTATCGTTCGAGCTCGCTCGATGATAACACACAAAAAGAGAGATATTCACACAAACGTGACGAGACACGCGAGCGCGGCGCCGAAGAGACTCGAAGGTTTTCGCGTGTCGTCGCGTCGTCCTATAAAAAATCGACGTCGGATCCCGAATCCGTTCACATCGTTCGCCGATGAGATGGATCGTCCATTGAGATCGACCGTGATGACGACGGCGCGATGGGTCGCCATGTTCGAGACTCTGTGCGCTCGCTATCGCTGCAGATCGATCAACGTTTTGGCCGAGACGATCGATAGCGCCAAGACCGATGTGCTGTTCATCAGCGGTCCCTCTGGCAAGTGGTTGGCCGAGGTCACGTCGATCACACTGGCACGATGCGAAACGAATCGCGACGAAAGCACCGTGCGCTTGACGAATGCGTCGGAATCGGCGATTCGGAGATTGGTGCGTTCCTATGAACAACGTCAAGGTTGCTTCACGGATGACAATTCGTTGTACGAAATAGTGTTCGACTGGTTCGTCGTGACCGCGTCGACGATCGGACACGAAGACACCGATCCGCGGAACCTTCGATCGTCGCAGAGTGTCATCGCGGTGAGGAGCATCCAATCGATCACGATGACGACCGACGAAGCGGAGGAAGAGGAACGACAGTGCTTACTGCGCTTCGATCGCAACAATCGTTTGATCGTGCTGTTGGTACAGTCGAATACTTCGCGCAACCAGACGCTATCGCCGATAAGTGTATCGTGCAATTCGCAATCCGACGATTGTTTGCGTCCTTTCGAAAAGTTTGAACGTGCACCGTGACAGATTCGACGTTGCGAATTCCGCGTGTTGGCTGACGAAAGCGCGCGAGATGCACAAATCGGCCAAATGGTTGCGAATGACGGGATATGACGACGATCGATACGCGATGCTCGATCGCGTCGTGTATCAGCGAATCGCCGGGCACGTTCGTTTGTTCTGGCGAGACGGTTACGCGTTCACGAGTCGCGATCGTGCCGACGTTGAGTCGATGTTCGCCTCGTCGATCCATTTGCTTCCGATCCCTGCGGTCATCGATCTGTTTCGTTTGCAATGGGAGATAAAGCGTGACGTTCGTTCGACTTTGTCCGTGTGCGACTACGACGTTTTGTATCGTCGATGCGAACACACATTGTCGTCCATGTTTTTGTCGAAACGATATGATACATCGACGGTAAGAAATGATATCAACGATTATTACGAGTCACGTTACTTCGTAAACGCCGACAACAAGTTGATAAAGCGACGCTACGTGAATCTGAGCTGAACATGTTCGTAATCACCACTCTGGATGACATCGTAGGGGCTGCTGCTACCGCGGCGTTAGGTGCCTCAGCGGCACCTTTCGTGTGGCTGGTTATGGCGTTGTCTGCTCTGATCGCGCTGATCGTTCCCTTCGTAGCTTGCTGTTTGCTGTATTACGATGGCGAGAGTGCTTCGTGCGATTGCGACTCGTCGATACCGTCGCGATCGGTCGTTGCCGCGATTTCGACGAAACGACCAAAGTCGCTGGTTCTCGACGATTCGACGACGTACATAGATCGAGCCGAATCGAAATTCATGGTACCCATGGGTACTAAGGCGCGGATTGCGCTCTGAGCATTCTATGTGTGACGCCTCGCGTGCGTCCGTGCAAGTCCTTCCCGCTTACGGTGTAGAATAGGGCTCCGCCGAGATCCGACCCGTCGGAACCCAGAGGCGGGAAGGGATCATGCTCAATTGACGCGTTTGCGTGTGAGTTAATAATGCTTTATTAAACAAAAATAAGGGATCTAGTAAAATATAATAATCTAGTAAAAATATAATACGCCAAGATCGGCCGAGACGGTAGCGGTGATTTGGTTCGCAAACGGGGTCGCTTGACCAGTGTCGCACGATTGCCTTCCCGTGACGACACGGCGGTCGCTTCCGTTCAGGGATCGCTCGCTCGCTGATCGCTTCTCCTTGCCCAGGCGGGCCGTCGTGCCCGTCATCGCGATTCTCGCGACGTGCACCCGTGACGCCAAAATCGGCACGCTTGCCGAGTCTTTCGGTCTCAGGGGGTTTCGCCCCGAATGTCGGTCTCGCTCGCGACGGTGGGACTCTCGCCCCGGGAACCACGAGTACGCTCGTGTCGGGTACGGCGAGGACTCGCTCCGATAAATCACGAGTACGGTCGTGTCGGGCACCGCGAGGACTCTCGCCCAGGAGATCACAAGTACGCTCGGATCGGGTACGGCGAGGACTCTTGCCTCCAGGAATCACGAGCACGCCCGTGTCGGGTATGGCGAGGACTCTCGCCCCAGGAAATCACGAGTACGCTCGGATCGGGGTACGGCGAGGACTCTTGCCTCCAGGAATCACGAGCAAGCCCGTGTCGGGGATGGCGAGGACTCTTGCCCCAGGAAATCAGGAATACACTCGCTACAATGCCCGAAAACTCTCGGGCTGGTCGGTAACTCGTCTCTCTCCGACGAGACGTCAGAAGGAAAAGGTGCCTCTCGTGAGTCGCACGGCGCCTTATATCGGCCGCCCGTACGACTCCGGATCGTTCCTCCTCCGTATCTCGTGACACGGAATACATGTGACGGCTGCATGCCGCGCGCGTCGAGGCGATCTTTGCCTCCACGCGCGTACCGCGTGCTCGCTCGCTCCTTTGTTCCTTTCGCTCGCTCGCGGTTCTTCTCGCTCGCTTGCTAGTTCGTCCGCTCGCTTGCACCCTGCGCAAGGTGCATGACCCGTGGTCGAAATGCATTTCGCCCGGCCTGATTCGTAACGATCGGCGTATCGTTACATCTCCCCCCTGGTTCACGCGGGGAAAAGGAAGGAGACGTGCGTTTTTCCGAATGAACAGTAGATCTATTTTATTTTCTTTACAGACCTTAATGAAAAATCGGTGTTATACCGAATGAGCCACTGTCCTCCGGCGATTCTTGCCTTGTATCGGCGTGACCGGTAGCGGGCGTAATATGGTACGTTAACTGTGAGACCATGGGCCAAGGCGACCAGGCTCGGCGGTGGAGTGCAGGAGGTGCGAGACGCCGCTGTCGAGTCGGTCCTGGTCGAGGGGCGACGCTGGGCCTCCTGCACCGTCCTCCGGCTGGTCGGCGGGGTGGGTGACTGCTGGGTTGTCATGCCCCCGTGGCAGGCCTCCACCTTCGGTGGTTGGTTCATGGAGTGGCCCGTAGCGATGGTCGGCTGGTTGTTCGTGCCGTCGGGTTGGCGCGGGGCCAATCGTCCGATGATAGTCGGTGGCCGGACGCCCGGTTTCAAAATTTGGATGGCGGTGATGGTCGGCTTCTGCGTGGTCGGCGGTGGCCGAGGGCGTGTAGGCCGGCGCTGGGTGGCTGGATTTACTGGAGCCTTGCTGGCTGCTGCGGCATTTGGCTGGCTGTTGACAGGTGCCATTTCCGGCTTGACCGCTTCGTAGTCGATGTCGGAGAGATCGTCGCCGAACAAATCGATGAGCTCGATTCATGCCTTTGGTCCGCCCGTCGGCTGCGCATTCCCTGTTTCCGGCGGTTTTCCCGTGCCCGTGGTCGCCGAGTTTCGGGGCATCGCGCGAGGTTCCCGTGGAGTCCCCGCGGTTTGCTGGCTGGCTTGCGGCGTGGTCGGCTGAGGATTGTTCTCGGCCGCCGAGGTCCGGAGCGTCGTGTCGCTTCCTATTGTTTGCCACACGCGGTGAAACGGAGCGCTAGCCGGGATTTCGCACAAGAAGTCCTCGATCGCGTGGAGATCCATTTTGATCGAATAGGATGAGCGCGGATGGGTGGTAACTTTTACCGCCCATCCGCGCTCCCATATACGTATGGACTCTATTGTTCGCCTCGTGTTTTACTTTCGGTGATCATGGCATGGCTTCGTGTTCGTCGACGTTTACTGCCTTCAAATCTTGTATACGTATTTGCCGGTACCAACGTCCTCGCGTATCCTTCAAATCTACGATTACCGGGGATATACGTTTCTGGACTGTGTATGGCCTGGAGTATCGGGGGGCGGGTTTCGCATTGAAAGCCTCCGCTTTCTTTGACAACGGGTACTCCTTTTTCCATACGGTTTCCCCGATCCGCGGTTTCCAGTCACGTCGCTAGAGATTATAATGTTTTTCTTATTTCTGGAAGGCGCGCGCGAGATTTATCTTGACGAATGCTGCGTGTAATTGCTGTGACAGCTGGTCACCGGTCGGTATGGCGGGTTCCTGTTCTTGCCTCAGTCGCGTCGGTTCGGGTTCGCGCCCGTAATTAAGGTAAGGTGGAGTGAAGCCGGTTGCCTCGTGCCAGACGGAGTTATACGCGAATCGTAACGCGGGGATTTTCTCATCCCATCGCCGCTGGTCCCGACCAACGTACTGCGAAATCATGGTTTTAACAGTCCGATTGGTCCGTTCCACAGGATTACAGTGAGGTGCATGCACGGGGGTGGTCTGGTGGTGCACCCCATGTTCCTGCAATAGTCGGGCGACCTGTTGGGAGCGGAATTGAGTCCCATTGTCGGAAATTATACTCTTCCGGCATCCATGTCGATACAAGATGTCGGTCGGGAGGGCTGTGGCGACGGTCTCCGCCGTGGCCCTGCGTAGGGGTGTCAACTCGACCCACTTCGAAAATCGGTCCTGCATCACCAATAGCCACTGGCGGCCCTTGGTGGAGCGCGGGAATGGCCCCACTAGATCCACAGTGACTTGTTCCCATGGCCTTTTGACCACGGCGGCATGCATGCGCCCCGCCGGTTTATTCTGCGCCACTTTATGTGCCAGGCAGGACGCACAATTGCGTATATACCGGGCGATATCCCTAAACATCCCCGGTCAGTAATATTTGGGCGTTATGCGCGCGATCGTTTTGGTGATTCCCAGGTGGCCGGCGGTGGGGGCATCATGATGCTAGGCCAGGATGGCAGCGCGTTAGTCTCTTGGTACGCATAGTTTCCACTGGGAAGCTGCCGGGGTATCTTTGAAATCCAGGTCGTGTAAAAGATGCCGATACAATTTTCGCCGCCGGAACATGAAATCGGGATACTTCTCGGGATGACTTCGTACGTTTTCCCGCAGGCGGTGATACCACGAACACGTAGTCCCGTTCGCCACTTCACTGATTATCGGCCGGCGAGATAATGCATCGGCAACGATATTCTGTCACCCCCTGCGATACTGGATGTCGAAGTCATATAATTGTAATTCGAAGGCCCATCGCCCCAATCTCCCGGTGGGCGAGTCCAGTTTTTGCAGCCATTGCAGGGATTGATGGTTAGTAACAATGGTGAATTGGTACCCTTCCAAATAGGCTCGCATACGTCGCACTCCCCAAAAGACCGCCAGGCACTCGATTTCGGTGGCGCTATAATTTTTCTCTGCCTGGTTCAGGGTGCGACTGGCGTAGGCGATTACTCGCTCGCCTTCCGGAAATTTCTGGAATAGCACCGCCCTTAGCCCTTGAGCGCTAGCGTCGGTTTGTAGGATGAACTGTCGTGTAAAATCGGGGCATGCTAGAATCGGCGCGGAGCTTAGCGTGCATTTCAGGGTCTGAAAGGCGGGCCCCTCTTCGGTGTTCCATCGCCACGAGACGTTTTTCCGTGTTAAGTGCGTGATCGGGGCCGCAATTTTGGCGAATTCAGGTACAAACCGCCAGTACCACGAGGCCAAGCCCTGGAATTGGCGCACCTTCCTAACGGTGGTCGGCGTGGGCCACTCGACAATTGCGCGCGTCTTCTCCGGATCGGTGTGGATTCCCTCTTGGTTGACGACATGCCCGAGGTACTTGAGCTGTTGTACGCAGAACTGACATTTATCAGGGTTTGGGCGGAGCCTAGCGGCTCGCAGCCGGCGGAATACTTTCGCAAGCGTCCGAAGATGTTCATCGAAGGTGCGGCTAATGATAATAATGTCGAGGTACACTAAAACGGAAGGCTCCAGTTCCGGGCCCAGGACCTCATCTAATAATCGCTGGAAAGTTGCGGGCGCCGAATGCAGGCCGAAAGGCATCACCTTAAACTGGAACAGCCCTTTCCCTGGTACGGTAAAGGCGGTAATCGGTCGGCTGTCCGGGTGCAATGGCACCTGCCAATACTCGTCCTTGAGGTCGAGTGTTGATAAATATCTTGCTCCTCGCAGCTTATCCAGAGTGGCGGTAATCTGCGGCAGTGGATAGGCATCTTTCACAGAAACCTCGTTAACCCTACGAAAATCTATGCAGAACCGGTGACCGTCGTCTTTTCTCCGGACTACAACTACCGGGGAGCTCCACGCGCTCCTGACTGGTTCAATTACCCCGTCTTGCAACATTTTGTCTGCTTCCCGGTCGATGATTTGTTGCATCGCGGGGTTTCGTGGTCGGTATCGCTGTTTGATCGGTTGTTCTTTCGTAAGGTGTATGCGGTGCTCGAGCAGAGGCGTGGTGCCCTGAGTATTCTGGAACTTGGCTAATTCCTTGCTGAGGAATAGTTCTAGTCGGCCATCTTCGGCCGGGGTGCTTGGTTGCAACCCTACTTGTATTTCGCATATCGGCTGTTGTTGTTTCCCCGGTGAGAGGCGGTGGCGGAAGCCATAGCTTGGTTTTCCGCCACAAATCAACCCCAATCAGCATTGCGTTATTTAGCTCGGGTAAAATGTGGAATCTGTGGCGGTAGTAGGCGGTTCCAATTTAGGCAGGGAGCCACATGTCCCCTGTGATACACACGGCCCCGTCAGCTAACAGTACTTCTCCTGGATTGTTCTCGGGCCGGAACCCGTGGTCACGGGCCAGTTCAGCGGTGGCAGCGTTGATGCAGGAAACCTCCGATCCTGAGTCAATCAAGGCTTCGATAGAGGCGTCCTTCAACCGTACCTTGATGTGGGGCTGTGGTGTGTAATAAATTTTACATTGGCGGACCGAGGCGCGGCCACCCTCTACTCGGTCCGTTCCTCGTTTCCCGCTCGTGGATGACACTGGCGAGTCAAAACTCCGTCTTTCCCGCATTGAGAGCAAAATTTGCGCGGTGGACGAGTGCAGTGGAAACGCGTGTGTCCGCGTTGTTTGCACTTCCAACAGCACTCGTCTCGTTGGTATTCGGTGGCTGCGACAGTTAGGGGCCGGTCAGCTTTGGCCCGGCTCTTTTGTTCTTGCAAAATGGCTTCGTACTCGGTAGCTCGGGCTTGCAAGTCGGCTAGGGTGGTCACATCGACCAAACGGATGTATAGTTTAAATGCGGGGTCCATGTTATCGTATATCCGCTCGATTTGCTGTCTGATGGTAAAACCTCCCGCACGCCGCATCAGAGTGAGGAGGGCCGTGGCATATTTCTGGAACGGTTCTCCCGTCTTTTGTCGCCGATCCAGCGCTTCGCGTTCTAATTGGGCGCGATACCGATTCGGCAGATATTGTTGTTTTACTGCGTCGGTGAAATCCCGCCATTGCGTCCATGCGTCGCGGTTGTTCCGGTACCAGAGCAACACGCCGCCCCTGAGCATCTCCGGTAGCCCGAGCAGAAGGTGTTCCTCCCGGTACCCATAAGTATGACTTAGTTCCTCGACACGCTCCAAGAACGTCCACGGGTCTCGACCATCAAAATGGCATCCCCATTTTCGGATTTGATTCATTATTCTTCCCGGGTCGGCCATGGTCTCGTCGATCTCCTCATGGGGAGCAGGGCGAGGTAAATTGACATTTGTAGATTCGTGTTGGAGGTTCATCGCGTCGAGTGGCGAACAATTTTCCTCTGGTTCGGTCACGTTCGCAGTCGGCGGGATGTCAGTGAAACTACTGAGGTCGAGCGGGGTTTTGAATTTCAATCCTGGATTTTTTACAATAAACGTATTGAATCGCTTACGGAGCTCGTCAAGTGACCTCTACGTATCTAACTGATTCTCTTCTAAGAGCCTGCTCACCGTTTCTTTATTTAGAAAATAGACCCACCTCGGCATGGTTCTTTAAATTGAGCACGATACCAGTCCCTGTTCGAGCGCCATGTGACACCTGGCGTGCGTCCGTGTAAGTCCTTCCCGCTTACGGTGTAGAATAGGGCTCCGCCGAGATCCGGCCCGTCGGAACCCAGAGGCGGGAAGGGATTGTGCTCAATTGACGCGTTTGCGTGTGATTTAATAATGCTTTATTAAACCAAAATAAGGGATCTAGTAAAATATAATACGCTGAGATCGGCCGAGACGGCAGCGGTGATTTGATTCGCAAACGGGGTCGCTTGACCAGTGTCGCACGATTGCCCTCCCGTGACGACACGGCGGTCGCTTCCGTTCGGGGATCGCTCGCTCGCTGATCGCTTCTCCTCGCCCAGGCGGGCCGTCGTGCCCGTCGTCGCGATTCTCGCGACGTGCACCCGTGACGCCAAAATCGGCACGCTTGCCGAGTCTTTCGGTCTCAGGGGGTTCCGCTCCGAATGTCGGTCTCGCTCGCGACGGTGGGACTCTCGCTCCGGGA